TTCTCCACACCACCAGCAAGGCCGACGTCGATGATGCCGCTCTTGATGGCTGCTGCGATGTAGGCGGTGGCTTGGAGGCTGCTGCTGCACTGGCGATTGACAGTGCTCAGAGGGATGTCGTAGGGCAGCTCGGCCATGAACTGGCCCATTCGGGAGGTCAGTCCACTGGCTCCCGGCTGAAGCACGTTACCGATCTGGATGTCACCAATGTCTTTCGGGTTCACCTTCGTCTTTTCGACAACCGCCCTGAAAACGAATGACAAAAGCTCCTCCGGGGAGGTGTGGGCGAAGGAACCCCGCTTTGCCTTGGTCAGCGGTGTCCGGACGGCACAGCAGATCACCACGTCGTCATCCGCTTTCTCTGCAGTGCAGAAGCCCGCGGTTGGTGTCGCAGCCAGCTGTGAGTCCGGGCTCGACAGGCTCGCGTTGACATGAGAAGCGACACGGCCAACGCGGTTCATGGCTGACACGGCCTCAACTAACAGCACTTCGCTACAAAACTTGAGGGCTTGAGCTAACTTACGGCCCAACACAGCCTGTTCTGCCTTCTGACATATAATTTTACATTGCTTCAGCGAGGCCGATCAAGGCGTGGAAGATCCGCAGCTTCACAAGCCACATCGGTCAAGTTTTACACCCCAAAACAGCCCTGCAGTCGACGAAACACTGGCCACCTTCGGCGGCCGTCGTTGTGGCTAAACACTTAGCAGCTGCCAGCGATGAACCAAAAGGAACTGTTCAGGGTAATGCTCAGAATTTTGGGCGAGTGGCCTAACTTTGACCCTGCTTAAATACCAAATGGACATCAACAACATCAACAACAACAACAGCAACAACAACAACAACAACAACAGCAGCAGCAGCAGCAGCAGCAGCAGCAGCAGCAACAACAACAACAACAACAACAACAACAACAACACGATGCCCTACTTAACTACCCCATGGACAACGACATAACCAAGCTGTTGCACAAAGGGGGTTGCCAAGGCATTGGATCTTGACTCGATGGCATGGACGATGACCAGATCTCGCAACCAAGGTTCGAACAAACATAGCTCTGAAACATACATGGCAGACTTGACCTGGGTAACCACATGCTGCTAGGCCCTCCAAACATTAGTGGACCCCCTGCAGGTGTCGAGTCAAACCGGTAACTTGGCCTTGCGTCGAGCGCCTTCGGGTGAACCCCTCGAAGTCCGTTGCTCTTCTTGTAAGCATCATGATGTACTCATTAAGCTAGCTTCTTCGAGACCTTTTGAGGCTGCCTGCAAGGATTTCGAAAACAAAAACATCTTGCTGGCTCCCTCGCGGGAGACGCTGAAGTGCAATTGGCAGGGCGGAAATCTGAGGCACGTGTCTTTGGAGAGGGGCTAGGACCGGCTAGGAGGTTCTAGTGAAGCCAGCATGCACTGGGAACACTGCATAGAGCTGCTGCAATGAGCTCGTATGGGTCTCAATCCAAACTTCAAGCCCAAACCATGGTGGCTTCGAGAAAGGTGGCCGTCATCGGGGACATATGTGTCTAGCTGGCAAGCGCAAGTATTACATGTGCGCGTGGATTGGGTTTCAGGCTTTGTAAACACATCGAAATCCGCAGGAAAACTTTCGTGCCCAGGAAGCATGCAATGTCCGCAAGATGAACTGCGTCCCGAACTGCATGAGTGATATCCCACATGTGTTTTTGCATCGCTTTGCAAAGAACCAACTAGTCTGTATATTGGTATTGTTACTAGCACGAGCTGCCACAATTTGCTACGAACACTCTGAACACCTCACCCCCCCCAATTCTTGACACGAGGCTCCTGTTCTGTAAAGGCAGATGCTGCTTCACAACGCCCACGGAAGCGATTCAAGAGCACATCTTGAGTGCCGAGGATTTAAAAGGCGAGCTGCTCGAAGTACATGGATCAAATGGGTTTTGCGGATTTGGTGGTTGAACAGGGAGACATAGAGAGCGCCTCCAAAACCAAATGGCCTGGGAACTCCTTGATGATTTCTGGTCTTCTAAGACACAGCTACGAACGTAGGCGCCGACACCCACACAAACACACATCCACGCCTGAGAACGAAAACGAAGAGTGTGCAATTTCCAGCCTTCCAGAAACGAAACCAGAACATGTGCTCACCACTTTGCGTAAGAGCCCTATGCACACCCACCCGAATGCTGGTATGAGCCCCCGCGCAGATGAGCAACGGCAAAAAGTTCAGGTCCTACAGAGTCTACCAACCATTGTAATCCTAAATCTGTAGCATCAAAGATTCACCTCCTAAACCCTAAACCCTAAACCGTAAACCTCAACATCTCGAAGGGACCCAAAGCCCGAACTTGAAGTCCCACTGCTGAAGGTCTAGGGCGTAGCGTAGCTTATGGCAGATTGGAACTCGGGCATTGTCAGCGGCACTTGTTGCAGCAACTTTTTCAATACCATGATGATGATGATGATGATGAACCACAATTTGTAAACCAGCAATGAGACATGACTGAGTAACAACGGTATCAATACTCCAGCAGACCAACAGTAGGCTGAAGAGTCTAATGCCGGCTTATTGAACTCCGGCAGCTCCGACCTTCTTCGCAAGTGGCCAGGCCAGACCATTGAGTTCTGAGGGTTTAGACAGTCTGAAGTTAACAATGCAGCTTTTGCATCAAGCATGCTAAGGCTAAGTATCAGGACTTCTCGAACACGGTAAAGTAAAGAAACAGCACGAACAGCTCTATCACCGCGATTGGCATCGAGGAGAATTATAAAAACAGCAAGGCCTGTGGAATACGCTGTGGCACATGGCGAGTACTGCAAGAATCGCAGGCCCGTTGGCCCCGTTGCATCTACGAAGAGCTGGCTGGGAACTCCTTGTCTTTACTGGGGGGAAAACTCAATGCTCCAACCTGCAGGACAGATCTTCGAACTGCCCGAGCTAGTGTGTGGCTGGGTCCTTGCGGAGGTACATCTGCCCCATAACTATATCCCCCTCCAACTAACTAGATGACGACCTTCAAGCTTTCTCGGTACATGACTCGAATGAACCAATGAAGGAATACTTGCTTGCGTGCATGTATGACTGAATGAAGAAACGAAGGAAGAAAACCACTACAATGTTTTCAGATAGCACAAACAAAGCACAGTTGATGATATGATGATGCTTCCTCGCTTTCGATCAGAGGTTTGGAGTTTGACAACGCGAGTCTGGAGTTTCGAGCGCACTGCCCTTTGGTCGCCGTTACGCTTCCAGTCACTGAAATCTTGACCCCGTGAGCGCCAAAACAACTCAGAACTTCTCAGAACCATCAGTCTGTGCTTCTATGAGACGATATAAGACGTCCCCGATGTTTGTTTTGAGCATCACGCCATGATAGGAACTTGAGAACAACATTCAGGGAACGCCATGACCTAGCCTAGCAACATCTCGACCTGGCCATCCGTTCATCGGAAGAGACACGCTTCCAGTGCACTACAAACTTACATCATAACATCCTGAAGACCTGAGAAGCTGCATGTCAATGTGGCGCTCTAGTTGAGGTCTGAGCCAGTCTGAGCTTGAAGGATCTGCATGGTTTGAGCGCTCGAGGTCCTTCTTGCATGAAGTATTGGGCTTCGTAACTTGGGCTGCTAAACAGGCACCTCAATGATTCCGAAAAACTGTCCTTCATAATCCCAATATTGGCTGCAACACTGGATAGAACTGGCAACAACTGTGTGAATTCAGCCCTGATCTCTCGTGCTGGTGTTAAAAGCTCTCCTCCGTGAAACCCAGCCGGTGGCACAGCAGGAATTCTATTCTCACGGCGCTGGCGCACGCCCCTGCAAAGTGCAAGGCTGCCCAAAGCAATTACCAGCTTAAGTGGGCTCAGATGTGGGAGGATTTACAGGAGATGCAGGGGGCTTGGTGACAAAATCAACAATTAACGAGCAGAGACTTTAGATAATCAGTGACTTTGCGGCGGACTTCCTGAGAACGCTAACCCCAACCTCGTTTGTGGTCAGGCAAGATTCAGGTTTAGGCTACTCATATGTTTGAGCCGTCTTTAGGTACCCCTATGGTGGAGGAACAAAGGGCACACGTCCAGAAAAATAAAGAATTAACCTACACGACATCCTGGAAAGTGTTCCTCAGCTCAAATTCTTGTGAGACCCCCAGTTTCATGGGGAGCATACGGATTAAGATTAAAGCTCAGGGCCTAACGACATCCTTTTGCAAGGCCGGGTGTCATCAGCCGATCCAGCAGCCTGGATCTGTCGTAATTTCGTGCCGGCACAAAAACACTCCACATCCCAAGGTCGCGAAGAAACCGCAAAGCATGCCCGCGGCACACCTTAAACACATGTGGCATCGTGTAATCAAAGAGAATGCCCTGCTACAAAACCGCGACGCCTCAAAACCACCAACATTTACCACCCGATTCAACTGAACAGGGGATGCCTCAGCGCGGAATCTCTCAGCTCAAGTAGCTGTCGCCTGGGTTTGCATCTCGGGTTAATGAGGTACTAAGCTTGTAGGGCTATGTAGGGTGTATCATCGGGTCTGTATGGTACTCCGGCCAGCCAGGAAATGCTACAAGCTCCCGTTTGTAGAAACATGAACGACGCTGCGTTGCTCATGGCGAAAACGCATATGTTATAAACTTGCCTCCTGCAAGTATGTATGTCCAGTGTATGTATGCATGCGTGTAGCGCGTGTTTGTAACCGTTCTTGCATACGAACAAACCACAATGCATCTACATCTACATCGGTACACCAACTAATTACTCAAGAACATACTTGCGGCGATGCCGGTGACCGAAGGTCCCCGTTTCCTTTGGAATCCGACTTCGGGCTCAGGGCCTAGATTCGAACTTGGATTACGAGTCCTGTAGCAGCGGCCTTTCTTCACAGTTCTGCAAAAGCGACACGCAGAATCTAAAGGCTGATGCGATTCGGGTATGGGCTGCAACCCCTTCAACAAACATTAGTTACAAGCCCGATCTGCAGCGAAGTTGTCCTAGCAGTAACAGTAACAGCAGCAGTAGCAGTAGCAGAGGCAGGAGTAGCCCGAGCCCGCAACATCCGAACATCCCCGACTAAACCCTGCTGGAACACCGACACTTGCCAGTACCGTGGGTCGTTCATGAACATGAACAGGCATAATATGATGATACGGATGATGATGAGTACGCAGGAGTATACGAAGGATGACGATCAAGATAACGGCCAGAATGATGTTATCATTTGTATTTTTAAATATACGGTAATACGTAGTGTATGGTGTGTGATATATAGCACCTAATATCCAACACACAACATTAAGTATCTAATTTCTGCTTATAGCATCTAATATGATCTAATTTTGTGATATCTATCATCTAATAATCTAATAGATAACTGTTAAAATACCTGGAGAATAAATTCCTAATAGCTAGTGTGTGCGTATACAGAGTTTATTCAATAACATATGGCCTCTGATCTAAACTCTTTCATCCCGTGATAGTGATAGCAATAGCAACAGTACCAGTTTTAGCAACAGAAACAGTAAGATCATAACAATAGTAATCGTAATCGTAATTGTAGTAACGTTAACAATGACGCATTAGCAACAACATAGCAATAGTCATAGTCATAGTAATGAAATCAAAGTAGTAGTACTACGGCAAGTAACTAAATAGATACCCATCACCTAGCGAAAAACAACTTTCGCGGCACCATTGCAGAGCTTTCGCCAAGACCAGTATGCTCAAGCAGCTTTAGATCAACTACCATATATACATATACGTATATACATACCTGCATACATACATACACATAAAGCCATATCTTAGCAATATATGCGAGGAATATATAATGTAAAAAGAGGTGGTGAAGGTGGCCATGGTGATGACGATGACGGAGACAGACCGTCCACAGTCGGTGTAAGCATGATTCTGATGATGAGTGCACTTATTGCAGGCTTTCCGGCCATGCGAGATAATAAGACTCGTGCGTCGGTGATGATGATGTTCCCGATTACGATGGAACAGATGACTACAATGATAAGCCACTCCTGTCTGACTTACTACCACAATCCCAAACCCGAATCCCGACCTTACGAGGCCAAATCAGACCGGGGACGGCTTTCCATGAGCTTCTGAAAGGCCAGTTTGGCAGCCTGAGCAGCGGTCGCTTCTTCAGGCTCAGAAATCCGACCAGGTTTCACGTTCAGGGTTTGCGGTGTTTCTATTCCAGGTTCTGTGGGCCTTTCAGAAGGCCAGTGCTTGCGGCTTAAAGGCTTAAGTTTTGAGCTGGTTAAGCTTATTAGGGCATGCATGCCAGGGCTTCGGAGGTGCCTGCGCGAAGGCTCGAGGATTTGCCGGTGTGTTTGAATTTGGGGCTTGGTTGGGCTGAACTGAAGTGGGGCGATGGGAACAAGCAGAAAAGCCGGCTGTAGCTTGATCATGTTTCAGTGTCTCAGGCATTTAGCAGGCTCAATGGCAAGCGAAACTCCATGTCAACATCCAAACCGGGCAGCCCACCCCGAAGCCTTGCACGAGCCGAGCTGGACCCCATGGCATGATTTGGGTGTTACGGTCCGGGGCTTGGCAACTCCATCCCCGCCCAAAAAAACTGCATCAATCAAGTGCGGATGTGTGGACTACGACGGACATACCTGTCTGACACCTTTTTGTCAACCAGATACATATGTTTAAATATGAATGCACAAACACACATATGTATATATATATATATAACACATATGTATATATATATATATATATGTGTTATACAAGTTATATACACATGGAGTCTGTATATGTTCATGGCCTCTTGGTCGTGCAGGTTCTTGTCCGGGTGCAGCTGCCGCTGCAAGTCGCGGAAGACCTGGCGAAGGGACACGGCCAGACTTTTGTGCTTTGGGTAATCATGCTCGTAAAAACATCAACGGAAGGAATAATTAAACAAAATGGCAAGCATCAGCATCCACCCCACCATCCACCAGTACCCACCAGCACCACCACCATCACCACCACCAACCAATGAGTACTAATAGGGTCAAAACCAATACGTACCCAACGCTGGCAACCGTAAGATTCAAACTCACAAACACTCACAAACACTCACTCACTCACTCACTCACTCACTCACTCACTCACTCACTCACTCACTCACTCACTCACTCACTCTCTCTCTCTGTCTCACACACACCGCTGCAGAAACTGTATGATTCAACAACCTATCCTGATGGCATGATGGTGCTTATCATAATCCGTAGCACCAACACCGCAATCACATGAAGTGTGACTGTAGCAATCCCAAGAACGGCAATTGCAATCAGATTCAGCCCTGCAAGACACAGCTTTGGCAGCTTACGGGCTGTTTGGAATGCGAACACGACTTGTGCGGCCTCAACATCAGGCTGTGACATCTTGTCAGAGTTTGTGCCCCGCGTCCATCTAGCTGGAGCTGCACTTCCCAACTGTTTTGCTGTATAGATGTACCTGCGCTCCAAAACTGAAGAGGCAATCCTCATCCATGGGGGGAACCAGGGTGAAAGGCCTGCAGACCGTACTAGTGGGCCATGACAAGCTTTGAAACACAGCTGCACGAAACAATTTGAAGTGCGAAGCACCCCTGACAATTAACAGGGCACCTCCGCTCAAAATCTTCTGTACTGGTGTCCTCACTCGGCTTCAATCACCGATGCCGCTCCCATGCCGCTGCCCAAGCACATGGAGGTGACGCCCAACTTCTTGCCCGTGCGCTTCAACTCGGGGAGCAAGGTGGCAATCTGCCTGGCGCC